GAATAATTTTAAATTATTAAGTCAATTGAAAAATAATGACCTAAAAATGAGATGCTTCATTAATTTATTTTTATTTAGGCATAAGTGTAATATTTTATTGAGATATTCATGATATAATAGTTTTTATCTCAAAGTGAACATTTCAATTTTTATGCCATATATGCAAGGCTGTATATACACCTCCATTGATGATATCTGTTTGCACACTAGTGCATATGATACATATGCACTATCATGACGTTGTTCCAAGAGGAAGTCAACCCCATTTGTGAGGACTTGGCAGTTATGGAAATAAGAGCAAGGATAAAATTTATTCCTGCCATGTTGCTGTTGTTCTTGTGCTAAGAAGTTTATACTTGCTCTTCCTCTCATTTATCAACAACTCCACGAAAGTGATTCCCAAACTTCAATGGTGCTCATAACAACATTAGGGTCTTGATCCAATGCCTGGATATAATTCCCCAGGAGTCTCATTCTGTAGATGTGGAGTTTATTTTTAAAAGTTTTCCTAGCAGTTCTGAAGGATGACAGACTGTGCTATCAACCATGACCTCATAGAAAAGAATCATTGTGTAGATGATGAACTGCCTTATATGACTAACTTTACATATGTAGGTATTAAAGCAGTGGGGGCTATAGGTAGAGGGTGTTGACACCTAACTTTCTAATGGGAGGAAATAACTTCAATGTATGTCATGCTCACAAGCATTAAAAATTCAAGCTCAGCAAGAAATATGTCTACTATCCTTATCTCTGAACCTTTCTTCTTGATTTGCTTGACAAACTCAACTCTGTAGGTTCAGAGTTCCAAGCATACCAAATGTGATTCTGAAGGACACATCAGATGAGAATCTAAATCTCTAAAACTTTGTCATGTCCACTTCATAAGGGTGCCTGCTCCCTGGAGATAAATTGAATAATATCAACACAAACTTCTTAGAGGAGAAAAATGACCTTTGACACTCACACAATACAGAATATATTTAAGAATGACACACTCCTCAACTGAGGCAGAGGTCTTAGCATTGAAATAACCCATGTAAGGAGATTTTGTTGCAAAGGAGAATATTGGAGCTCAATAGAAAAAAATTATTATGAAGAATGAAAATAATTGGCATAAAGGGATTCTGACTAAGTAGACGTACAGAAACTTGCTACAGACTAGTAAAGTTGAGCCAGTTTCAGAGGGTACCTGGTAGGAAATGATCTCGATTAGATATGATGGGTGCTCAGATAGAAATAAAGACCATTCTTGCTCCTCTGATTTATCAGAATTGCTGCTTGACATAGGATGATACCAGTATTTAGAGAGCATTAATAGATACTTGGAGCTCTGAATCAAGCCATGTCAGGTCTTATTTACAGATTCAGAGAATAAAGATTTCAATCACTTATGAACATAATGATTTGTTGCTTTCTTTGAATTAAGTATCCTTCACTCTTGGTGGAGGAAGAAATGGATGGATAACTAACATTTAAAGCATCTTGAAAAGCCATATAAAAACCAATTATGGTAGAAGTGTCTGAAAATACATATACACATAAAAGAAACACAAGTCAGTCATCTTGTAATAGAGGAGATAGTGTACCAACTAAACATGATATGTTACCAATTAAAACCTAGTTCTAAGAATGAGTTTCATCTCTTTGAATCATGATGTGGTATGTCCTTTGGTATATGTGTTCTTTTACTGGTGGATGAATAAAGCTGTATTCACCTATGGTCAGTCAAAATACCACTAGGCAGGAAGTTTAAACAAAGATACATGGAGAGTGTACATGGACTTGAGGAGATCTTGTGTCATCTCTGAAGGAGAAAGTTGCCAAATCATTATCAATATGCTGCAGCACGTGGCAATACAGAGGTTAATTTATGGTGTAAGAGCTGACATGGAATATGCCCGAGTCATTAGCCAAACAGTGTTGTACTTAATAGAGTATCTGTGTGATTATTTAGGTGGGGGCCATCATGAAATGAAAGTGCAGTCTCCATTTACATAATCATATGGCCTGTCTTAGTCAGTGTTCTGCCATTACAGAGAGACGACATGACTGTGGAGACACCTATAAAGGAAGATAGTTAATTGGGTCTTACAGTTTCAGGGGCATTGACCATTGTTATCATGGCAGGGAGCACAGCAGTATAAAAGCAGGCAGGCATGGTACTAGATAAGTAACTGAGAATTTCACATTCGAGTGATACTGGACTTGGCATGTGCTTTTGAAACCTCAAAACCAACTCCTAGTGATGTATTTCCTCCATCAAAGCTATACCTCCTAATCCCTTCAGATAGTTTCATTGACTAGTGAACAAGCATTCAAATCTGTGAGCTTGTGGGAGAGATATTCTCTTCCATATCACCCAATTCCCCTCCCTGGAACCATATGCTTATAGCCACATCAGAATGCAGAAATGCATTTAATCCAAATTAAAGATATTCTGTAGTCTGTAAAAGTCTCAACACCATTTAAAAGTCCAATATTCAATAATCCAATAAAAAAATGGAGTACAAACCTAAACAGAGAACTGTCAACAGAGGAATCTAAAATGACTAAAAGATACTTAAAGAAATGCTCAACATCCTTAGTTATCAGAAAAATGCAAATCAAAACAACTCTGAGATTCCATCTTACACCTCTAAGAATGGCTAAGATCAAAAACACTGATGACAATTTATGCTGGAGAGGTTGTGGGGAAAAGGGAACACTCCTGCATTGCTGTTGGGAATGCAAGTTGGTACAGCCCCTTTGGATGTTAGTGTGACAATTTCTCAGAAAATTAGGAAACAACCTTCTTCAAGACTCAGTAATACCACTTTTGGGTACATACCCAAAGGATGCTCAATCATACCACAAGGACATGTGCTCAACTATGTTCACAGCAGCTTTTTTTTGTTGTTGTAGCCAGAACCTGGAAACAACCTAAATGCCCCTCGACCAAAGAATAAATAAGTAAAATGTGGTACATTTACACAATCTTGAATTTTGCAGGTAAATGGATTGAGCTAGAAAACATCATTTTGAGTGAGGTAACCCAGATCCAGAAAGGCAATTATCACATGTACTCACTCATAAGTGGGTTTCAAACATAAAGCAAAGAAAACCAGCCCACAAATCACAATCCCAGAGAACTTAGACAATGATGAGGACACTAAGAGAGACATACATGGATCTAATCTACATGGGTAACAGGAAAAGACAAGATCTCCTGAGGAAATTGGGAGCATGAGGACCTTGGGAGAGGGTTGAAGGGGAGGGGAGGCAGAGAGTGGGGGGGCAGAAAAATTATATAGCTCAATTTAAAAAAATTAAAATATGCAGTGTTCAAAGTCTCTAATACTTGTGTCATTGTCTTTATTATTATTATTATTATTATTCTTTTATTACTTTAAAAAATACCAATCCAAATTCCCACTTCCTCCCCTCCTTCCACTCTCTCCAAATATCCTCCCCTTCCTCCCCCTCTAATTCTAAGAAAGGAAAAGGCACCCTGCCCTGTGGTAAGTCCAAGGCCTTCTCTACTACATCTAGGTTGAGCAAGGTATACATCTATAGAAAATAGGGCCCCAGAAAGCCAGTACATGCAGTAGAGACAAATCCCAGTACCACTGTCAGTGGCTCCTCAGTCTGTCCCAACTGCCACCCACATTCAGAGGGACTAGTTTGATCCCATTCTTATTCACTCCCAGTCCAGTTGGAGTTGGTGAGCTCCCATTAGCTCAGGCAAACTGTCTCAGTAGGTAAACCCCTCACTGTCTTGACCTCCTTGCTCATATTCTCACTCCTTTCACTCTTCAAATGGACCTTGGAAGCTCAGTCCAGTGCTCCGATGTGGTTCTCTGCCTCTGTTTCCATCTGGTGTTGGACAAAGGTTCTATGGTGATATTTAAGATAATCATCAGTCTAACTATAAGGCAAGGCCAGTTCGGGCACCCACTCCTCTATTGCTTACACTAAGAGGCCATGGATGCAAGCACAGACTACTATACCCAGCAAAACTTTCATTGTGTCAATGTCTTAACTGTAACCCCTTGTAAAATTAAGCTTAAGAGCAGATAAAATTCTTCCAACATACAATGGCACAGGATATACGTTACCGTTACAAAGGCAAAGAAAGAGAATATAGTGAGGAAATACTGTACCAAAAGAGAAATTAACACTGGCAGGGGAAACTCCAAATTCTACATCTCTATGACTGCTATCAAAGTGTTCTTCAGATTTCCAACTCCTTTTAATTCTAAATGCCTCCAGGTACTGATTGCAATACAATGTGAGTGACTGTCCCTAACCCACCAGGATGGGTCCTGAAGCAGTAAATATGGTAACTTTGAATTGATGCTGTGTTGGGACAATGAAGAATGCCAGGTAAATGGCGCTTCTAGATGGCAGGCCCATGTAACATCCAAAAGAGAAAAGTCAGAGAGTTTCAAGAAATGCAGCCAGAGCCTGATATTTATTTCCCCTCTTGTACTTCAACCTTGAAAACCACTTGCCCCTTTGAGGTTCATATCTCCTAAATGTCTTGGGATATCCAACTGTATTACACATGGACATATGGAAACAGGGCATCCCAAGAGTCTGTGTTCTCTATGATCCAACCATAGCTGAGGAGTAAACACAAAACAGAATGCACTGATTAAGTCCTGCCAGGGATGGTAACCAAAGCCGCCCATTCTAACTGAGAGGGCACATCACACATCTTTTCCAGAAAGTGTAATCAGAAAGCAAGAAGCTCAGTATACTGTGATCCAAAGCCTACAGGACTGCTATCCAACTTGCTTTGACAAGGTTCACCAAGTCAGCTTCCTGTTGTCCAGAGAGGAATCCCACAGCCATGCCAGAGGGAAAATGAGAGGTTATCTCTCAGAAAGAGCCTGAAGTACTAGTGCTTGAAGAATTATTCATGTCAGTAACACAGCCAATCAAAGGGAGAGCATGACTGAGGGACGGGCTCAAATGGGTAGATATTTGAGATTTATAGCATGAGTAAGTTACTGCTGTGTCAGACTCTGGAACCTCAACAACCTCTGAGGAGTTGAGACCGTGGAGTGGACTAAGGCAGTGGCCATCACCACAGAGAGGTAAGACCATGACTTTCCAAGGCAGAATGTCAGGTACTTGTGGGGTGGGGGTTGAGAGACTCCAGGGAAAATCAAGTAAAATGCCAAAGACAATAGTCTAACCCTTAGCAACCCTGGTGTGTGTAGTGTAATGGGTAGGAAAGGTAAAGAAGACACTACATGCCTTATGGGTCTGTTTTTATAGGGAGGGTCTCATTACATAAAAGTTTGGGTCTGACTCCAGAAATTTACACAAGTAACCATCACTGGCACTTGCTGGTCTGGAAGAGATCATCTCTTGCACATAACCCCAGAATGGATCTGTTTTCAGTTCACATGGACAGACTTAGTAGCAGATGGTATGTTCCTATCAAGTCTTTTGGGCAGTGTTGCTTTTGAGATCCTGCAAGTTCAGAAACTGATAATCTCACTATGAACTTGGTATTGTACTCCACCTACTCCCATGGTTCTGGCCACTTGTTGGTTTTTAATATGATACTATCCTCATATAGGTAGTGAGTTGGGAGTTTGATTGCGTATTCTCAACAGCAGAACACAAGTAATAATAAATGACTCTTCCAACGTTCTTATAGAAGATATTTCATGAAGTTTCATTGAAAAGGGGAGGGGTAAAGTCAAGCCTACCACTTTCTGTACATTAAAAATGCTTATGTTATCATGTAGTCTCAACTGTTGACCTATTTTGAAAGTAGAATCCAATACCATGTGAGAGAATTTTGCTTGGTATAAAAAATGAGTCAGTGATATCCTAAGAAAATGGTTGTCTTTTGCTTCTGTTTTTCACAGAGGATGGAGACTAGTGAGATGCAGTTCACCAAAAGTTTTCACTGCTAGAATTCTGGGGACAGGCTCTTCATTTTATATTGGATCAAATAAATACCAGTGGATGACTCAGTTCAAACACATCCTCGACCTTTTCTACAATCTTTTAAAAAATATTTGGGACAATAATTCAACAACTTTTCTTGACCACATATGGATTAATTTCTTATGAAGGAATACATCCCATGTTCCTCTTTTTGGGTCTGGCTTACCTCACTCAGGATAGTGTTTTCTATTTCCATCCATTTGCATGCAAAATTCACAAAGTCCTTGTTTTTTACTGCTGAGTAGTACTCCAATATGTATATATTCCATACTTTCTTCATCCATTCTTCAATTGAAGGGCATCTAGGTTGTTTCTAGGTTCTGGCTATTACAAACAATGCTGCTATGAACATAGTATTGTTGTATGATAAGGCCTCTCTTGGGTATATTCCCAAGAGTGGTATTGCTGGGCCCAGGGGTAGGTTGATCCCGAATTTCCTGAGAAATCGCCACACTGCTTTCCAAAGTGGTTGCACAAGATTGCATTCCCACCAGCAATGAATGAGTGTATCCCTTTCTTCATAACCTCTCCAGCAAAGGCTATCATTGGTGTTTTTGATTTTTGCCATTCTGACAGGTGTAAGATGGTTTCTTAAAGTTGTCTTGATTTGCATTTCCCTGATCGCTAAGGAAGTTGAGCATGACCTTAAGTGTCTTTTGGCCATTTGAACTTCTTCTGTTGAGAATTCTCTGTTCAGCTCAGTGCCCCATTTTATAATTGGTTTGATTAGCCTTTTACAGTCTAGTTTCTTGAGTTCTCTATATATTTTGGAAATCAGGCCTTTGTCAGTTGCAGGGTAGGTGAAGATCTTCTCCCAGTCAGTGGGTTGCCTTTTTGTCTTAGTGACAGTGTCCTTTGCTTTACAGAAGCTTCTCAGTCTCAGGAGGTCCCATTTATTCAATGAGGCCCTTAATGTCTGTGCTGCTGGGGTTATACGTAGGAAGTGGTCTCCTGTGCCCATGTGTGGTAGAGTACTTCCCACTTTCTCTTCTATCAGGTTCAGTGTGTTCGGACTGATATTGAAGTCTTGAATCCATTTGGACTTGAGTTTTGTGCATGGTGATAGATATGGATCTATTTTCATTCTTCTACAGGTTGACATCCAGTTTTGCCAGCACAATTTGTTAAAGATGCTCTTTTTTTTCCATTGTATACTTTTAGCTCCTTTATTGAAAATCAGGTGCTCATAGGTTTGTGGATTAAAGTCAGGGTCTTCTATTTGATTGCCTTGGTCGACTTCTCTGTTTTTATGCCAATACCAAGCTGTTTTCAATACTGTAGCTCTGTAATAGGGTTTGAAGTCAGGGATGGTAATGCCTCCAGACAATCCTTTATTGTATAAAATTGTTTTGGAATAAGAAGACATAAAAGCATTGCTGTAATTATGTCTTCATTTCTCTCTCTAATCCAGGTTCTTCAGATATGACTCCTACTATCTTCCTGGTTATCCTGTGCTTAGGAGTTGGGTCACGTGTTTCGGCACTTGATCCCAGTTTGGATGCTGAATGGGAAGAGTGGAAGATACTCTATGAAAAATCATACAGCCTGGTTGGTATCCTGGAAACTGTCCAGAAGGGCCCCAGAGTGCAGCTGTCTAGGCATACATGGGTCATACATGCCCCACCACAACTACCACCACTGAGGTTGCTTAATCACAACCATTGTGAGCAATGGGTAGCCAGATTCCCTTTTGTCAGTATGAGGAGAAGGTGTGACTCTTGTGTCCTAGACTAGCTCTCCTGGGACTCTAATCACCTGGGCAGCAAATCCACAACATCAGCTCGTACAGGATTTAATTATAAAGAAATGTCACCCATTTTTGTTCTTATCCAGGAGGAAGAAGCACTGAGGAGAACAGTATGGGAAAAGAACATGAAAATGATTAAACTTCACAATGGGGAGAATGGCCTGGGGAAAAATGGCTACACCATGAAAATGAACGCCTTTGGTGACATGGTGAGTGTGACATGCATTCACACTGTGTCCTCTTGTGTGTTTTACATAGTCTTTTCTTTTATAATCATTTATGTACTTTTCCTTGAAGACTGATGAAGAATTCGACAAAATGGTCGTTGCTTTCCCAATGCAAACTCACAAGAGGGGGAAAGGCATCTGGAAACGAGCTCTTAGCGGTTTGCCCAAATTTGTGGATTGGCGAAAAGAAGGATATGTGACCCCTGTGCGGCACCAGGTTTGACAGTGCCACCCACCCTTCTTCTTAAACCATATTGAAGAGGAAAGAAATTAGTGTTTTTGTTCTCTTATTGAATGAGGAGAGATTTGCAATTCATTTTTTAAAATATATATTTTCTTCTTTGAAATCTTCATACATTTTCCAATATATATTGATCTTGACAGTTCAGTAAACAGATTCTCCAGATATGAACTTCTACCACATGTCATTGTAGAGTTCACGTCCCTTCTATTGTCATTAATAACCGATAAAAGCAAGAAGTCTTTCACAAATGTGGTGGGAGGACCCACAGGAGCATGTGCACACTACCAGCATCCAAGTTTTCTTTGAGACTGACAATTCCTTTCTAGGCATCTGTCAACTGCCAGTTTCTCATGTTCACAAATTATTCACCTGTCTATGTTGTTACCTGAGTTAGTATTTGTTTGTGAAAGACCATATTTTCTTCACTCTAGGGCAATTGCGGTTCTTGTTGGGCTTTTGCTGCAACTGGTGCCATAGAAGGACAACTGTACAAAAAGACAGGCAAACTCATTCCTCTGAGCGTGCAGAACCTAGTGGACTGTTCTAAACCTCATGGCAACAATGGCTGTGCATGGGGTCACATATACGCTGCTTATCGGTATGTTTTGCACAATGGAGGTGTGGAGGCTGAGGCAACCTACCCATATGAAAAAAAAGTAAGTGGACCTCATGTTATTTCAGCTCAACCTGTAGCGAGGAACAACTGTAGATATGATACACTTCTGCAATCAGATAAGATGGTAGAATCTCTCTGTACAGTATCATCACAGCCATTAAGTATCATCCTTTGCATAAAGTTTTGCTATCATGATATTGGTATGACTGTCTTCCATGTACATCGAGAAGATAGAAACTATTAAACATATAATACAGATCTCTGGAGCAGTAAATTTTCTAAAGGATAGGGGGAACTATTGGTTGTCATTGAAGACAAGAGAACTTATTTTCAGTTCTAGATCTTTTAGTACCATTTCACTTCCTGGAATGAATTACAATAACCCAGACGTTTGTGTGCTCAGCTGCAAATTGCCAAGAGTTGGAAGAAACTGAGTCCTTTATTTCTTCACCTTTAAAGGGAGGACCATGCAGATACAACCCTCAGAATGTAGCTGCTAAAATCAGAGAATATGTGGCCCTCCCAGAAGATGAGGATGTCCTAATGGATGCTGTAGCAAATCAAGGGCCCATTGCTGCTGGAATGCATGTGTATAAGTCTTTTTCATTCTACAATGAAGGTTAGCATATTTCCTTCGAATGAAGAAAAAAACTGTGACATCTCTGTGTTATGACAAGTTCTAAGACTTGTTAAGTAAAATATGATGCGAATGGTTAAGTTTCTGGACTTTACTCATCTCCAAATAGTAGTCCTGAGGACTGAATCTCTCCTGATGCACCCTCGTATGAAAGCTAATGTATCCTATTTAAAAAACTTATGGGTTAGCTGAGTTTTCATCTCTTCTCCATTTCATGGATGTTTTAGTTGTTTATAGAAACTGATTATTTGAAATCAAATTATACCAGAGCATTTTGATTAAATAATTCATGCCTTCTAAGTTTAACTTGGCATGAGACTAGTAGAAAAACTACAAAGTTCTGAGGAGTCAATCCATATGCATGCAGACGATAGCTATCAGTAAAACTCACTACTTTGGATTTCTTCAGTTTTCTGTGAAACTGTCTCTCTCTCTCTCTCTCTCTCTCTCTCTCTCTCTCTCTCTCTCTCTGTGTGTGTGTGTTTGTGTGTATGTATGTATGTATTAGCATTCTTGCGAACAATTCATCTAGCTCAAGTCTGACTGTAGTTTATATTGAGTTCAAGCATGATTGCAGTTTATATTTAGCTGAAGTCTGATTGTAGTTTATATAATTTCAGAGACTGTTGAAATAGTTCTACTGTTGGTGGCTGTGGTCACTCCCAGGTGTCCTGTGCATTTCACATCGGCTTCTGTTATTTCCCAGGCATTTATCATGAGCCAAACTGCAGCAGTATTGCTGCGAATCATGGAATTCTGGTGGTTGGCTATGGATTTGAGGGAAATGAAACGGATGGTAATAACTACTGGCTGATCAAGAACAGGTATGAATTGCCCTGAAAATCTGTATTTGAAATTCCAGGGGCTGGAGTGATGGTTCAGTGGTTAAATGCACTGGATCTCGTCCAGGAGATTCTTCCAGGCATCAGTTGTTTCCCAGTCATTCTATACCTTCTATATTGAGGCAGTGTTTCTTGCTGATCTAATAGTTCACTATTTACTCTGCCTAGCCAGCTTGTTCTTGGTTATGTTCTGTTTCTGTGTCCAAAGAATGTGGGTTACCGGCACACTATAATGTCAATCTGGCCTTCCCGGGGCTCTTGAAACTGATCTCAGCTCTTTTACTTTCTCAGCTCTCATATAGCCCTAAGAACTTACTAACAATATGTTATCATAGAATTCCCAACGCTTCACTGGTTTCGAGGCTGTCAATGTCATGTATGTGACATTGATTTTCTAAACTATGATACATTTGAGAGTTCTGAAACATGTAACGTTAGAAAGTCATCCTGCTGTGGTTTTTACATGCCTGTGTGAAGCACCTCTTGGTACTCAGGAATAGACCCTCTGCTTTTCCTGATCATTTTGTTAGGTTGGCCTCTTGCCTATTGTAATAAATCCAGCATGTGATAATATCTCTACTAAATAGAATATGATTTCTTTCAGCTGGGGAAAAAGCTGGGGCATGAACGGCTACATGAAACTTGCCAAGGACAGGAACAACCACTGTGGAATTGCTTCATATGCCCACTACCCTCTTGTGTGAGCAGCCTGATACCCACGTGGAAGCAGTCAGCAGGAGACTGCATTTCCAGAGAGGTTAAATCCACTTCAAAGACCAGCCTTTGCTTAGTGTGTTAAACTGCTGAGTTTCTCAAGATCCACACTGCAGTGTGAATTCTGGGAGATTTCAAGTATTTGAAATTATAAGTTTTGTAACTGCCTCTATCTAATGAGTGCTTATGATTACTGCAGTAACTTTATTTTTAATTTTAATGCTTGTGGAAATAAAATCATTTAAAAATTAAAATTCAAGTATCATTTCTAGTTATATATATATATATATTTTTGTGCAGTTACTTTTTTGTTGTCAAACATGCAATTCACCTTGAAGTGGGACTCAGTGTTGTGCTGGTGTCTGGAAGAAACAGTGGGTAGGTTCTTCTTGAAGAATGTACTGTTCATCGCTCTGGTTTGCTTTAGGGATTCTGTTTATCCACCAGCAATCCTGCTCTGAAGGAATCTATGACAATATCTGGATTTGAAAGTTTTAGCTAACTAAATGTGGAAGTCCACAGAAGTAGCTTCATTCTACCTTAACTGAAAATCAGAGAGTTCATGCCTATTCTTTCTCCTTCACGGCTATTGACAAGAAGATTGGCTTGAGGTGTGTCTACTAATAAAATATTTTGACCTAGGGTGTGGTTACTTGGTTCTTTGGGTATTAAGATGACCCACAGAGCGGGATATGTTGCACATTGACCAAAGGTCTGAGAGGTCAGATATATTATGCTTCTTCAAGGAGATGACAGGATGTTTGGCCCAAGGAGTGACTGCCTTCAGGATGCTTGGTCTAAGGTGTGATTGCTGCATGTCCTGCCTAAACAACAGAATACTTAACTCAGAAAGAAGTTTCTTGATGCTTCAGGCACTGAGGCACATAACTGCTCTATTTCTTCTGTGTATCATGTTGAAGCAATCTTTTGACTTCTTCCCCTACCTTTGGATTTTGTTATATAAGTATATGGAAAAATAAATGCAGGCAAATTCAGTATTCATTGAATTGGCATTCCAACTGTTTTCTGTGAGTCTGTATCTCTGTTCCTTTGAATATTTCTAATCCACATGCCCCTACCCTGGAACATGTGAACCCTGTTGAGGCTGGACCCTGACAGATGTTGTCCCAATGCTGGACCCCAGTTTCAGTTCTTGGCCCCTCTCTGCAGTGCAATGGTACCATGAGCTCCTTCACTGCATTGAATTGGGCTGAGACTCTCCCTCATTCATTAATTAACTTTGTGTTGGCATTGACTGGAGCCTAGAAACCCTACTAAAGTAGGCTCTAATAAGTGTAACATAGCTGAAACACATGACAATGACAGAAATAGCCTTTATAGCTATGAAAAGAATTCTTAAAGGAGGAATGAAAAGGCAAATGAGGAGAGAAATGGTGTGGGACAGTGGTCTGCATTCTGTCAATTATATATTAAATAAATGCTGATTGGTCAGTAGCCAGGCAGGAAGTATAGGCAAGACAACCAGACAGGAAGTAGAGGCAGATCAAGGAGAACAGGAGAATTCTGGGAAAAGGAAAGTTCTTTCTATAGTCCTGTCCCATCCACAGAAGAAGCAAGATGTGACTGCCCCTCCAAAAATGGTACTGAGCCATGTGGCTAACATAGATAAGAATAATAGGTTAATATAAGTTATAAGAGTTAATAAGATGCCTGAGATAATGGGCTGTTGTAGGAGCTGCGGGTCTGCTTTTTGTCCCACCCAGCTCCCGCACAGCTAGATTTACACCAGAAATAACAACACACAAACTGTATTCTTTTAAACACTGCTTGGCCCATTAGCTCTAGCCCTTACTGGCTAATTCTGATATCCCCATCAACCCATCTCTAATAAACTGTGTAGCACCGGTCTTACAGGAAAAAAAAAACAGCATGTCTGACCTGGCGGCTTGCTTCATCACTTGTGCTCGAGAGAGTGGAGCATGGCATCTCTGAGCTCACTTCCTCTTCCTCCCAGTATTCTGTTCTGTTTACTCCTCCCACCTATGTTTTAACCTATGAGGGCCAAGCACTTTCTTTATTATAATTAACCAATGACCTTCCTCCATCAATGGGCCAATCAGCTTATAACTAATGTATACCTCTGTGTGATTTCTTTAGGACCTAATGATTGAGGGACCAAATGTGACAGAAAAACATCTGACAACAAACGGTGCCCAACATGGGGTGATTGCATCCACATAAGCCTGAGAGAGCTTGGAAAGTTATTCTAGATAAAAAACAATAGAGTTAAACATGGCTTCTTAATAACAGCATTTTTTTCAGATGGGCTCTTCTTGCTAGAGACAAGTGCTCTCATTTAAGAGAGGCTTCCTGACTCAGCTTGAGCTGTAAAACCTTGCAGCTCTTTCAAAATGTCCTACCACAAAACACTTAAATGGTGTTGATGAAATACTGACTGCATGCTTTTTGGTTTTCAGCTATAGCAGAAAAAAAAAACTGCAGATGCAGGCATAACCAACAGAATACAAGACATAGAAGAGAGAATCTCAGGTTTGAAGATCCTATAGAGGAAATAGATTCGTTGGTAAAAGAAAATGTTAAATCCAATAAATTCTTAACAAAAACAAAAAAAAACAGCCCTTCCCTCTTTGACCACATAACATCTCCCAGCCCAGCCTGTTCGGGGCTCTAGGACCGAATCCGAATCAGCAGGGCAAACGGGAGGGTGCTAGCTCCTTTGTCCCCACTAGCCTGCCTGCAGCGAGCTAGGTAGGTCCTTTGTTTACGAGATACGGCAAGCAGCAAGGAGTTCCGGTCCAGGCACCAGGAGAGACATCACTGGGGTGAGTGAGTTTCTGACCGTGGCAG